ATATATATATATATATATATATTTTTATACTCTACAGATAGTTTAACACGGGTTTTGAATGAAGCCTCTTGTTCTGAGTCAAGCTGAGTCGTGATCCTTCATATTGTAGAGAACCCACGGGTTTTGAATGAAGCCTCTTGTTCTGAGTCAAGCTGAGTCGTGATCCTTCATATTGGTAGAGAACCCTGACCATCGCATACAACTATGTAGACTGTCTTCGGTTTACAGTTAGCTTTTTCCTGGCCAGTGTCATTTGGAGCGTCTACTTGATTTCTTCGATTAAAATAGCGAGAAGATGCGAAGGGTGTAATGCCGTCAACCGAGAAATACCTAGTGTTTTGACAGCAACAAAGCTTAAAAAAACCTTGTAACATGCAGAATGGAAATGGTTGAATCGATGTATCTCGATACTTTATTTGCATACAGCACTGGTTCATCGTATTCAACCTTGCGTTGCTGAACACCAGCAAGGTTGCTTGGTTTTTTCACCAGAAAAGCAAACATCGCACGATTTTAATGAACCTCTTATCTGAAAAGCCGTCACTTGAGGAACTGGTCAGCACGTGACCGCGTAACTCAAGACCGACTGGCGCCTTAACCTATTTAGTTGTGAGTTAACTACACTGCTGATCAGCCACTCGTGGCCGACTTCAAAAGAAGATTATTATTAGTTCGAATCACCTGGTATCTTGGTGATGTACGCCTTGCCAACGGTCTCCAACAAGGACAAAGCAACAGTGTAGTGATTTGCGTAGGTGGGAATCCATTGGGAGGGTAAACTCCCAATCGAAATTTCAAAAACTCATACTACCACCAAGGTATTATAAGATTGTCGTCACTAGTCACTCACCTGTGATCTTTGTTTGAAGTTCTTTGCTTATTAGTCTGTAGATCCGTTTTACGTTCACTTCAGCTATCGACATTTAGTCAGTGTTTAAATACCTAATGTGTGGGAAGTTTTGGTCTCATCGAAAATTTGCGATGCGGGAACACACAACTGCACTTTGACAGCAAAAGTGAAGGTGTTCTGAGGCGATATCTGTGAAGTTTTATGGTTATACAATACAACTCATTTTCTCGACACCATCGCAGCCCTGATGCGACTTCTTCGCCACGGGGTCTCTGTTAATCGGTTCGTCATTAATCCATCCAGATTTAAAACAGCTCTCGCCAGCGTCTGGGTTGGCACCCTCTCCTTTTCGAGCTCTAGGCTTTGGATTGCTGGCTCTTGCCAAAACAACGAATATTTGTTTCGTGAAAGATACCTAGTAACATCATCCTTTCATATTGGTATTCGAGTACTACTATTATTGCTTGTTTTGGACGAGCCTGATCACAAACAAAAAATAAACCTAAGCGGCAGATGTGGAAGGATGTACAGGAGAACGTCAGATAAAACAATAGAAGCGTTCAATTTGAAGGTGTGCCCCTAGTAGTTTCCAGCCAGACAGGATGATTTCCAACATATGTAAGAATGTTTTTGTTTGGGAGCACTCGTGTAAAGACCAACAGTTGACGAAAGGGCAAGCAGTACTGAACCCTCTCCAAGGCGCTAGCACAGTCAGAACTCGCACATCAGGCAGTGGACACCAACTTTATGCAGAATAGGTATTGGAATCACTCATAAGTTCACCAAACAATTAGTAACGAAAAAAACATTGAAATGAGCTGTGATTTCCAATACTTTCTAATCCTGGTGTTTGATTTCCACCCACCCTAACCCTCTACCGACCACAAATAACACCTCTGAAATGCAGCAGTTAAACGTGAGTCCCAGTAGTTTGCTACCACTTCGAATGTTATCGCTCCTCAGTGGCTCTGCCACGGTTGTTTTTCTCTTGTTCTTACAATTTTGTCTAATTTGCTAACTGGATTTATCATCCGTAGCCTTCTTGTGTCTGTCTGAAAACGGTCATCTAGTGTGCCGTGATTGTGTTTATTCTTGCACCAACCCTATTGATTGGATCTCTCGCTGTTGTTCGTTGCAGTGCACCGGTTGTGATGAGCTTCTGTGTACTGCATAATGCTGTTTATAAATACACATGAAAGCAGTCTCGTGTGTGTTGGTGCCTGTGTGTGTATTCATTTATAAGCTTAGTTTCCCCATTTGTGCTCCGTCAGCATTACAGATGGCTGTCATAACCTTCTCATCGCGTTCCTCGCTCAGTTGTCGTTTCGTGTGATTCCCATTTAACGCTTCCCTGGCCCGGACTGTCGACTTCTGTTAACGGATTGGTTCATAGCCCCCTATACTTGTTGTCGCCCTCAGCAGAAAAACAGCAATAAGGACGTGCTAGTGTGAAGCATTGTCGGAATTATTTTGGCACAGCGCCAACGCTGTACGGACATGTTCGATGCTTGCTTTTTCTCGAACGATTTTGATCAAGATGTGTTGTGGTGGTGGCTTCCAAGAAAACTGTTATTGCTTATGACTGATAAATTCGTCCTCATATACCTTCAGTTCTCTCTCTCTCTCTAAGCAACACTTCACAAGATTTCAACTTAGTTTATCTCGATAGACGAAACGAAACATTTTTAATTAGGCCTAGACACGGCGACCATATCCGAAATGCTTGAGTGAATTCTTAACGATTTCCTCTAAAGTTCAACAAAAAAACCCTTAGTCTAAAACCGGATCTCTTATAACCTCCCGATAAGAAATATCCTTTTCGTTATGTTAGGTGCTCGTGACTCCGAAAGGGCTAAAAGACAAGACAAGTACTTTTGGCCAGACCAATGGAATTTTCACCATCGATTGGCAAAATTCTATGATGGAACTACAATAGTCGATTCATGATGTACTCGGTGCCATTCGTTAACATCACAACTCCAGATTAGTAACCATTTGTGACCGTTGGTTGTTGACCATTGATCTCTTCGCTGAGCTTGACAGCTGAATTGCAAACTTTTCGTCATCATACTAGGAGACATCATCATTGAGCACCTGACCAAACACCAGTTAACTCACTGGAGCTACCAGTATGTCGACATGTGTGATCGTTGTTAGTCCAGGCTTCCGTGACCTGTGGATTCTCGATGCAAAAGACCTCGCATATATTCATGTAACCGGACGTCTTCTGGTAGCTGCGAATCCAATGACAAATGTGCACCGAAGCCGAGTTCTGTTGTAATGTAACTCACAAGACAACCCTGTATCAAACGGCGCAGACGAACTTGCAAGCCCCCTGTACTTCGTATTTACTGGAAAAAGTATTCTTCCCAATAGTTTTCCTCGGGTTCGAGTCATTTAGTGACTAACATTGAACTCAAAAGTCCGCGTTTCCTCACGATTTCAGCAACATCTGCACCTTTTCAAACCAGGTTTATTTGAGTACTTTGTCTTTGTTCAAAAACACGTTGGACTGACGTAAGTAAATGACTGGGTTCAAATAAAGGAGATTTCCATGGTCTTAATTTTAACCAACGTTTGTCACCTGTTTGGTCATTTTTGTTGAGGTTGCCCCGAGATCAGAAATAACATGAATACTGTCAG